TGCTGTATAATCTTTTTTTAAGTTTACATATTAAACTTACAAAAATATTTTCCAATTCTCCAGAACCAGAAAATGTAGATTATAAAATTGTAAAAGTTTAGATTTTAAAAAGGTGATGATGGTTGCCTTTATGTGGAATACTAATATACTAATACTAATAGCTAAGATTGATTCATTTAAGCAACTTTCTAAATCTACCTTGCTGAACTTTATAATAGTTACTATTACAAAGGTAGTAGATCAAATCCTTGTGAGCTAATAAAAACATTTGTTTATTTTTAATAAAAATTATATCGTAACAGTGTTAAAAACAAGGCAACAGGGTCGAATAGCTATATTTGCTTTATTTGTAGATAATGTAATGTGGAATGTAATTACTGTGAAAGTCAGGGATGAACGTAGTTATGTAAATAAAAGAATGAAACTGTGAAATTCATTTGTCTTCTTTTGATAATATGGGTAACAGGGACTTGTAATGGTTAGAGTGACATACTTTAGTCAGAAAAGCTTGGACTAATACAAAATATGTCAAAGGGGACTGACCTTTGGTCTACCATTGGTGTTAGCACGCGACTTGATCATGTCACTTCTTCTTTATCATGCTACCTCATTGTTTTGTCTCTTCCTTTTTGAGGCTAAATAGGTTTCGGTAACAAGTCTGCACATATTTTGTGGGAACTTGCTTTGGATATATACGTTGTTTTTTATAAAAACTATCCTGATGTTTAAAAAAGGTTAAACAATTATAGATATGTTAACGAATTCAAAACAATCAAGTTAATGTAAAACTCATTTAAAACCCTATAGTATATAAGAAATGTCATTATCAGCAAGTAGGGACAAGAGAAAAATGCCATTTTCTGTGTTTTAAATTATATTTTGGAACCACGTTTTAAACAACTAGGTACATTTTATTTTAGTAGAAGTGTGTTTTACACAACAAACATGTTGTCGTATTTCATACAGAAAATGTCCTACAACTGTAGAATGGCCCTTTACTGTTTTATCAGGATCATATTCTAACACCTTTCTGTGTTATTTCTTCTACGACTTTCTTTCCAGTACTTTGTTAATGTTATTAAGGAAAACAGCCATTATAACTAAATATCACGAAAATAATTTAATCTGTAATCCCGTTTAAAAACATGGCGAACAGTTGTTTGTTTGACCGGTAGCAGATAACCGTTTCCAAGACGATCACAAGGAAGTTGCTTGGTGACGACCAGCCAATCAGCTGCTTCTCCTCCCGCGGTCCGCAATGAATGTGACGAATAGCTTTAATGTGACGACGGAGGTAAAACATTTCACAAAATGTGACGTTAGCCGACCGTCTAAAGCTGAATTGCACTAAAACAAACTACAACCAAATCAGAGGGGTACGTACTTTCATATTGCTCAGCTTTTACGCTCGTTTTAATGGGTAGTTTCAGTTCGTCGCGGTACAGTCAGCCTGTCATGTGACTTCTTTAAACACGAGCTTTCCGGCGTTCGGAAAGTTTCGTGCTTGAAGTAGGTCGACCGTTTTTACACCCGGAACATGTTTTACTGCATTATCCGCTGTTTCAGATGGAGGTGACTCGTTTGGACTTCTACATTGGCCTCTCACTAGCTGTGAGCTCCAGTGTTTTTATCGGCTCAAGTTTCATCTTGAAGAAGAAAGGCCTGCTCCGATTGGCCAGCAAGGGGTCTATGCGAGCAGGTGATCAAACAAAACTCAACTGTAGCAAAGTTTATGCGAGCGTGTGAAGAGATTTTTAGAACACGCAGTTGTATTAACAATAACTACAACACAATAAAGTAACCCTTAAAGCTGAATTGTTATTGCAATTTTCATGATGGAAATGATCCAGCTTTCATTATAACAGTAAGATGGAGGGAGGTTCGTTGTCAAGCAGCTGTGTTGTATTCACACACACTGAGACTCTTACTCACTTAACTATCACGTAAGACTAAACATTTAATCATCGCATCGAAATCTGACATTTTAGAGGGAAAATGACAGAATATTGGACTTTTCTGTGTCAATAAACAAGTCAGCTCATCTAAAAAGCATAACTATGAGAAAACGTGGCATATTGATTTGAGAAAAAAATGTACGAGATTTCCTTGTGACTTCACCTGTGTGATTCTGACACCAGGTATGCAGAAACCACTGCACTGTAGCACCAAAGCTGCTAGTAACAGTTTGCCAGTAGTATTTAATCCTGTTTGACAAGAGTTTACTAAAAGACACACCCATCTGGTATAGTAAAGATTTATCCCTTATTACAAATGAAATTAGATTTATTTATGTATGTTTTTTATGTTTTTTTAAACAAAGAATGAATTTACTTTTTAGGGATTTACTAATTAACCAGGAGTTAATATGTATAATAAAGCTTCAAGACATAGAGAAGCATTAAATGCTTACATTTAAGAAGCAGTAAATATGTAATATTTTGCTTTTGACAAAATGACTCTTATTACTGTATTATTATTATATAAACAGCAGTTTAGCTTTTTGATATGGAATTGATTAAAACTACTTTATAAAACCTCGGGCTTTGTAACTGAGAACTTTATATCATGTTTTATGAGTTAATCATAATCCGTAAGGTCCTTGAGATGTTGGCTGTTTTGAACTGCATAAATAAAATCGAGATAAGTTGTGGGAAACTACAGCTATATGTTGTAGTGCAAAAGAAGACAGGTGTACCTGAATAATAAAAATATACTACAGCGGGTATCAGAAGGGCTGTGCAAATTCAAGCTACCGCAGTACATTGTGTAACTTGTGATTAGTAACATTAACCTGGTTGTTCATAAATGTACCAACAATGATGGTTTTGAGGGAGAAATCTGCAGCTGTTATTGTGAAATCTACTGCAGTTTTTCTTTGTGCAACTAACAGGTCAAGGGGGCCACGCTTACCTGAAAGAATGGCTATGGTGGGCAGGATTAATTTCAAGTAAGTGAATCTTTGACAGACTTTATTCTGCCCTGTGAACGGGCAACAAGGTCAGGATTCTTCCTAGAAACACTGTCTTCTTTGTTTTCTTAAAACAAAACAAGGCATTTGTGGGTTGTTTTTTTTTTTTTTTTGCTGGTGACGTGGCAGTAAGCACTGCACCCACACCAAATATCCCAAGTACACATTCCTTCAAAGAGCACATTTGCACATGTGGGTTTGGAAGAAAATATTTAACCTAAACAGCTGCACCAGATATGAATATATCTGCATGCTAATGACGATCGTTGTTGTGTTGCAGTGGGAGCTGGAGAGGCTGCCAACTTTGCCGCATATGCATTTGCACCAGCCACACTTGTGACTCCACTCGGAGCATTGAGTGTACTTGTCAGGTAAACGTTTTAAAGGTTTAATATATTATGTTGTATAATAGTATTATTAATGAAGGATGCATGTTGGAAATGCATCTGAGATTGAAAATGATCCCCAATAAATACAGTATATTTACTATGGTTTGAAATATCTCTATATATATATTTGCTAAAAGCTGTTGCTTTCACTTTTTTCCACTATGAAAGAAATACCCTTCTAAATACCCTTTCATTTGTGCCTCTGCTGTGTGTGTTTTTCATCTCCAGTGCCGTGCTGTCCTCTTACTTTCTGAACGAGAGGTTGAACGTGCATGGGAAGATCGGTTGTTTGCTTTGCGTCTTGGGCTCCACAGTCATGGTTATCCATGCACCGCAGGAAGAAGAGGTGGCTTCGCTCAGTGCCATGTCTGAGAAGCTCCTGGATCCAGGTATGACCAGACCTGCTTTGCTGTGATCTGATTAACAACACTGTGGAAGCTGAATCCCAGAAAGGAGCTGGATGTTTGATTTTTGTCAGGTTACTAACTCATTCTTGAATGCTCCCATTAGGTTTCATTGTGTTTGCTGTGTGCGTTGTGGGAAGCAGTCTGATTCTTATCTGTGCTGTGGCTCCGCGTTTTGGACAGAAGAATGTGCTGGTCTACATCCTGATCTGCTCTGTGATTGGCTCGCTCTCTGTGTCTTGTGTCAAGGGCCTGGGCATTGGCATTAAGGAGCTGTTTGCCGGGACAGCTGTGCTGAAGGAACCTTTGTTCTGGGCCTTAATCATCTGCCTGGTAATCTGTGTCAGCCTTCAAATCAACTACCTGAACAAAGCCCTTGACATTTTTAACACATCACTAGTGACTCCCATTTATTACGTCTTCTTCACCACATCTGTCATGGCCTGCTCGGCCATCCTCTTCAAGGAATGGTTAAGAATGAACATAGATGGGATAGTGGGAACAATCAGTGGGTTCTTGACCATCATTTTGGGAATTTTTCTCCTCCATGCCTTTAAAGACATTACATTTACCTGGGATTCCCTCCCACTTTATCTGAGGAAAGGTCCTCAGGGCTTTCCATGGGGCCAACAGCCATACTTGGCTCTTCCCAGCTGTGACTTGCAAGCACAAGACGAGATGAATCTTCCCAGAGAAGGAGCCACAAATGGAGGGTGGGGTATACACCAGAGAGCCCCTTAAAGAGGGCCAGTATTGTTATTACCACTACGAAGTCATTCTAAAACTTTAATGCATATCACAGCTTTACAATCTATCTTATAAAAAAGCGAGGAGGATGGGAGAGGAGGCTTTAAAATGAGAGTAATGCTCTCAGTACACTGGATTTTATTTAAAATTAGTTGTCCACATCATACTGGTGTGTACATTTGGGGTTTTTTTTGTTTTTTTTTTACAACATATTGAGTTAAAAATAGCCTTCACAAGCCAGGTTGTGCCTTCTGTTACTGAAAACTATAACCAAAGTTTTGCACCTTTAGCTTTCATCATGCTTAAAAATGTGTGAGCTTATTTGCAGTCAGTGTTAAAGTCTTAATTTGCTCAGTCGATGATGTCAGTTACTGCATTACCTCAGTATTACACACAAACCACACCAAAGGATGCTGTCTACTTGTATAAATGTACCTAATGTGTGCAAGCTGTAACATATCGCTGCGTTAACTGTGTTTTGGATGTTTGATAATGCCGATTAAAACACATTTACATCATTTCACTGCACTCTTCCAAAAGATGGACAATATTGTTTGGTTTTTCTTTTTTGTTAAATTTATTTATTGCATATGTTCAGCCTCGGCTGCTGATCATGATCATGCCTCTTCTGTCAAGACATCTTTAGTTCCTTTCATTACACCAGCATGTAGTTAAGTCCACCCCCCAGCAGGCCAGCTCAGTGTGTTTTTGCACATTCAGACTCAGTTTATAGCTTGAGCTTGAATTCTGTGACTTGACAAAAACAGAGTTTAGGTTTGTGGCTTTGTTTGTTTTTTTCTCAACACTGATGCCAGCAGAAGACAAATAAAAAAAACTACAGGAGTCCATACTCGATGTTAATTTCAGGCACTTGTATGAAAAGGTAACACTTTAGATTCCTTTTCCCCCCATTGGCTGGACAGTTCTTCAAGGTACTGCACAGACAGCAGGGTCAGAGGTACGTCCCTCTCAGAGCAGTGCCCGTGTGCCTCGTTAGTGCTCTGAGAGACAGTTTTTAGTCTGACATGGTCTCTGAGAACGACCCCCGGCTCCTCTGAGTCTGTTCCAGTCTGTTTAAGATGAACTGGCTGGTGTCGATGAATCGCTCCACGCAGTTTACAAAGCACGCTTCCGTCCTCGAGTCCAGCTTCGGCCCGGGTTTATCCATACACTTCTCCTGGAAACAGAGACACCGATTAACAGGAAATGTAACGGCAAGATTGGATACAGCGCCAGAGTTCCTGTTACAAAGTAGCAACTTTACGTCAGCGCGTGGCTGTGCCCCAGCTGTGACCTCAGCACGCAGTGCGGCACTCCGCGATTCGGACGAGTTGCTCAGACACTCAAAAGTGTATTTTAAACCAGTTATTCAGGAAATTCTTAGGCGGTCCTTCGTGACCTCACACGTCTGCCTTTTGCCCGCTTTGACATGAACATTAAAATACTACATGTCCACCTCGCTTCACTCCTACTCCTCCTTATCTAAAGCGACAGCTATACCAAGCCGGGGTATAGTGAACAGGTATAGTGTCTCTAACACTTTATTACTGAATCCCTGCTTTGAAATAGCGGTAAGGGTTGCCTATGAAAAGCGGTGCGACCCGGTGTTTGTAAATTGTTAAAATCAATTTTTAATATAATTTTCTGTCCACGGCCAGTACAAACGGAAGCCTAAAATTGTGTATAATATAAGACACACCAGCCATCAGTCAAAAAAACAGATATATTTATACACATAGCAAATGGCAGAGCTGAGCTGGTAGCTTAACGCTGATCTTACCCAGCAGACCTCCGTCATTTGATGCACCAGCTGCTGAAATCTTTGTTTCTGAGACTCGATTTCGATGAACTGCTGAAGCTGAGGGTCAGCTGTCGCTCCCTGGCTGTCCATACCTGCTTATAAAGAGGTCGTACTGGTAATATTTTGCAAACTGTAAATGCTTAATGGCTTTATTGCTGACCTTCACGTGCGTGTGCACGACGGGAAACGGGAAGTAGTTCAGCCAATCACAGAGCACGTTTGTGTGACAAGCGTCGTCATCCTGTACACGTAGACTTTCGTAACAGTATTTGAGGTGTGTTTAAGCGTTTGTTTTCATCCTATATAGATACGTGAATACAGCAGGTCTGTCGCATGGTTGGAAATTTTCATTCCATCTTTTGCACGTGTTCATTTTTAATTTTCATTCCACATGATGACGTTTCAAACATTTCAAAGCCTGGTATACTTGGCTTTTATTTGTGCAATACATACGCGCGTACAAAGCTTGTTTAGACATGCAAAGATGTTTACACATTCAACAAATATTTCACAAAATTCACTACATACATACAAACTCAATCCGGTGCTCTTTAATAAAATGTACACAATTGAAATGCTACTCTATAGGAATGTACTTCTACTTATGGGATGGAAAGGATAGTATCATCAGTGAGCAACAGTGATATTCACAGTACACATATTCACATTTCAGAGGACTTCGCTGTGCTGCTACTTTCACTGATTGTGTTATCTTTCCATCTGAAGATACGACTCTGTGGGCTTCTGAGCGAACTGTCGATGTTTTGTGCTGATGCATTATTCGGAGTCCTACTGGAGCTCATATAGCAGATCCTGCGCAGTCAGCGCCAGCTCCTGAAAGTTTGGTCTCTCCTCTGCTTTCTGAAAGGAACAGCAAAGGAAAACTGTAGGATTAGGGCCAATATTAAATGTCAACTCAACCGAGAGTTGCACTAAAATATGAAAATTCACTTACATCAAGCCAGCAGCTTGACATAATGCTGTAAACTCTTTCGTTGGCCAACTGGGGGCGAAAGAGGCGCAGGCCCCGGGACACCTGCTCCACTATTTCCGTGTTGTTGAGGCGCTCATAAGGAAGCCGTCCCAGAGTGTACACCTCCCACATTAAAACCCCTAATGGATTATAGAAATGGTTAGAATTTAAAATCATTATGCTTTTATGCGATTTGAGCAAACAAAACAAAATATGGAGGGACCTAACTCCAAAAATAAAATATAAAGGTCAAAAATAGATATCAACAGAACAATAAAACATTACATGCATAAAAATATATTTTTTTAAATAAAGGTATTAATGCATTAATTGTAATATAAATTCCCGATGTATGTATTTAGTTTTCCATTTAACTATATTTAATTAAAATTTTAAAGAATCATTTTGTTAGCACATTTATTTTCCCTGTATTCACCAAAACTGTTTTTATACAGTAGAGTAATTATTAATTAACCTATTAAGTCATTTGCACCTTTATTATTTTTAATTCTGAAGTTTCTGTGTCCACTCACTTTGAAGTACATCAATAAAACAGTAAAAATATATACAGTATGTATTACTTACCATATGCCCAGATGTCAGACTTACTGCTGAATTTGCAGTAAAGAAGGACTTCGGGCGGCGACCAGCGGACGGGGAACTTTGAGCCAACCGAGCTTGTGTATTCATCATCTAAAACATACCTGGAAGGTTTGGAGGAAGAGGATTTTAATATTATGCTGATGATGTACCAGCGTGTCTTGTTCTTTTTTGCAACTTATGTAAAGTGTTTTACCTTGATAGCCCAAAGTCAGTGACTTTGACAGTGCCATTTCCATCGACTAAACAGTTCCTGGCAGCCTGGAGATAAAACAAACAATACTTTTGGTTCAGGAATAATCATTAAACCTTCAGCGTTATCTTTGGGTAGCAAACAGGATTTTTCTTTTTTAAGCTTTGACACAGTGGATCATTGTCTCTCACCAGGTCTCTGTGGATGTACTGGTGTGACTCGAGGTAGGCCATGCCCTCAGCGACATCTTTACACATCTCTAGCAGCTGGATGCTTGTTGGGTGCTGCTTCAGGCCCTCCTTGAGGTATGTGAGGAGGCAGCCGTTTGCAAGGTACTCGGTCACAATATAAATAGGCCTTTGTTTGGTGCACACGCCATAGAGCTGGACCAGGTTCTCATGGCGAAGCTTCCTTGTTTGAGCAAAAAGAAGAAGGAACTTAAGCACTGTGAGCTGGGTTTCCTCAAAGACATTATAGGAACTACCATTCCCAATATGACAGATCAGTTTTATGAGTCTTGTGCACAAACAGACTCATCTTAGAGTGAGTTAGATATTCAGCTATTATCATTTAGTTGTGCTTACATCATGATTTTTGCTTCTTCTATGAAATCATCTTCTGACATGGAGCCCTCTTTAATCATTTTAATGGCCACATCATGCTGTCCCTGCCACTTCCCATACTTCACCACTCCAAATTGTCCAGATCCCAACTCCTTGATGAAGGTGAGGTAGCGTGGGTCAATCTCCCACACACCTGCGTCAAACAAGAGAAAGTAATTGTGCTCTTTTAGCATGTAACAACCTCATTAAAACAACTGCTTGACACGTTGTATTTATCTTTTTAGCGCTGCTGCTGAGAGATAAATGAGATGCCACTCTTGGTTACCAGAAACACTAGAAACATTTTTTTCTTTTATCAAATTAAAAAACAGGTAATCAGGTGCACAGACAGAGAACCATTTTTAATCTTCTGATCTAATACTAGACACAAAAGTGTAACAACTTTGCCAAATATACTAATAGCACAAAACACTGTTAAAACAATAATCAGTATCTTACATGTTAGCTTTTATACACGCTCTGAAAGCTGTTATAATAAAAAGAATACATTCATAATCCAAGAAAGCAGGTGTAATTAATCTGCAGTTCAGGTGCTGTCATAATCTCACCATAACCAAGGCCTGCTGTGGATGGGGGCCGTGCCCGGTTAGATACGATGTGTTTCAGTCTGCTAACCATGCCTATGGGGGAGATAACAAAGCCACATTACCTATTAAGATAGTCATTTTTGATAAGATGACTGGAATATGAATTGTAAGCATGAACTAATTCATTGAGCTTTGACATGTGAGTGAAATGGCTACAGAAGACGTTAAAAAAGAAAATAAAAAGTGTTTTTGCATTAAAAAGCAACTGTAAATTTAAGTTAAATAAAGTGGAGATTAATAATAAAAAAAGAATAATTAAACCCACTAAATTTCCAATGGCCCCCTACCCCCCACTCAAACTTGCTTATGACTCATTTCCTTTTTCCTGTTACTGTAACCAAATTTGAAAATGAGTTTATTGTGTAACAAACACCACAGTATTAAAGCTGAGACTATGTATCCATATGGCCCGGGCAGTTCTATTGACCTGCTGCGTTGTGCTGGTGATAGTTGATGAGCTCTGCGATGGTGTTAAAATTATGCTTTTCTGCCAAGTAATACTGGCTCTGCTGGGTGGTGCAGATGTTATAATGTCGGCAGCTTCCCACAGCTTCCCTGTAGAGAGAAGAGTAACACGGGTGGATTTAGTTCGCACGTTTTCACTGGAACCACAGGAATGATTTATCATATATGCATAATTAGGTAAAATCTCCTCAGTGTTCTGAACAGGGTCGCTCAGTCTTGGAATAAAAAAAAAGTACCGCAGACACATTAGTCCTAGTTTTGCATAAGTCATTTACATCTCTCTCCCTCTGCGGGCCACTGTTTCCTCTTTCATTACAAACAGTTCTTCTTTTCATGCGTTCACACATGACCGGAGCTAGTGGATACACTATATAAATGGTATCAGTGTTTAACACCGCTAAGCTTACTCACCCGCCAGCCCTTGTGAGCAGAGACACAGTGTATTTCCCAGCCTTGCTGGAGTCCCGCACCAAGAAGCCTCCATCTTTGTTCTGATTACAACAACATATTTCATAAGTTTTGACTTAAATACAGACTTAAAAACATATTTTTGGTAATGACAGTCATGGGTTTACCTCAGCCTTTAACAGTTTTTCTGCTTGACTACGGTTCATATTCTTGCAATACCAGCTGTCAATAAAAAAAATAAACAATTTTTTAATTCTTCCTGAATGTTGTTGTATTAGTTCAACAATAAGAAATGAATTAGAGTGCAGATAAGCAACCAAGAATGAATTAGGTTAAAAATAATAAAACGTATAACCATATGTGACATTAATACACCTGTTTAGGGGCAAAGCAATAATGCTGATACTCACTCGAATCTTTCTAGCCCATCTTCAGCTTCTACAACATAATTGCTCGGTATATAACCCTCTTTTCTGGAAAAGAAAAGAACATCAACAGATGGCACATGCAAAACATGAACTTTTGCTGGACCTTTTTCTTCACACCAGCAGATTCTAACTTTTACAAATCATTCAACTGAATCATATATTATATAAATTCATTTCTACTCATTATGCAAAATCTATGAACTAACGAGCCGTGTAGCCCCGGAAGCCACTTTTTGAACGATCTCTTATATAAATTATCTTTAGTCTTCAAAATCATCACTGATTATCTGTCTTTATCATTATAACGCTTGCAGTTGGTTTACTTTAGCCTCCACTGTAAGTTTCCAGAGTGCGCTTGATTTTTGATTTGTCTGATGGGCTACGTGCGGTCACGCTCCTCTTACGAGACATTTTTGGGTCGCCTCTAGTCAGCTTACCCATATTTGTCTCGAGCTCTCCACCAGTTTGCATCGGACTTCTCCAGGATGGTGTACTCCTCATCCTTCCTTAGCTCCAGGTCTTGTGGTGTCATGGGTGTGTAATTGTACTCAGCTACAACAGTCATGCCTGCAGAGGACGCTGGTGGGTCAGGAGGCTGTGGAGGTAAAGGACGAGTAGGCTTTTTCTGGAAAAAGAAAAAAGATTGCTCTTTTTCATATAGAAGAAAACAGTGTGTACTTGGTGAATGTTCATCTCAAAGTCCCAGGTCTATACCTCTGCTGGGGTTGGAGGAAGCGGCTTCCTTGTTGACCTTCGAGATAGCTGTGATGTCACTCCTATAAAGGCATTATTTGATATATTAATTTAAAAGTTTAGGACCTGATCATTTTAGACTTTAAACTAAGGGGAGTCTAATTCTCACCATTCTTACTATCGAGCACTTTGCAACCCATGGCCTGTTTGACTTCCTGGTGG